AGCAAAGCAAGCGTGCATGCGTTCACATTTTTGGTGCTGGTTGTTAAACCGGCAGCATCCCACCACATCCCACCACTGATTGCAGGCAGAATCCTGCACTTCGTCTCCTACCCTTGGCCGTGCCTCCTTCTCCCCCAGCGTTCCTCCTCGGGTGATTCTCCTCTGACTTTTCTCCTCGGCTGACACGCCCCCATTTATTCGCCCGGGGCAATGGGCCACAGCCCCTCCATCCCACACGCTTCAGCACAGCTGATTCACTGAAGGAAAGTTCGTCCTGGGTTTTTCGCCGCCTGGGACAGTTAGCCGCCAATCAATCAGCTAGCTGCCAATGCTGGCAGCCATAAGCCAAGCCGAACGCTTGTTAGGAGAAGGAACAGAAGGGTTCTCACAAGCGTTTGGCTTTCCTAAAGCCATTTTTGGCAGCTAGCTGATTGGTTGGTGGTTAACTGTCCCGGGTGGTGAAAAACCCAGGACGAATCCTCCTTCGGTTTATCAGCTGCACCGAAGCGTGTGGGACAGAGGGGCTGTAGCCCATTGCCCAAGGCGAATGAATGGGGAGTGTCAGCTGAGGAGAAAAATCAGAGAAGAATCACCAGAGGAGGAACACTGAGGGAGAAGGAGGTGCGGCCAAGGGTAGGAGACAAAAAGTCCTAGACCCGGTTGCAGGAATATGGTTTGGCTAGTTTAGAGAAAAGAAGGACTAGGGGTGACATGCCAACAGTATTCCAGTATTTGAGGGGCTGCCACAAAGAGGAGGGAGTCTGTTGTGGCTCCGTTGCCTGAGCCTGGGCTATCGACAGATGCAGACTCTGAGAGGGAGGGGGAGGAGTTGGCAAGGCCTCCCTCTCCAGGACCCTCTTCTCTGGCAATGCCTCCGGAGGACACCAAAGGCCAAGAGGTAGGCCCAGAGCCAAGCACGTCTCCGCAGCCACAGGTGGACAGCGACGAGGAAGATAAGTGCTGGCTGGACCCTCGCCAGAGGCGCAGGGAGAAGCGTGCGCAGCAGAGGGGAAGGCGTACCAGAGATTAGCTGAGTCACTGGACCACACCCCACAGGCTATAAAAGGGAGTGTGGTGGCCATTTAGACTCTGTGACGGACAAAGCTAATCTCTGGCGAAGCACTTTGCACCTTCGGACACAACACCTATTTGCTGTGGATTTAATTACAAACTGGACTATTCAAACTGTGTGTATTTTTGTCTCTGTTATCGGAGTAAAAGTTTTTGGCAGGCAGCCACGGAGTTGCTGCCAAGTTCCTTATCACTGACGTTGTGTGTTTGAAGAGTTTATTTAACCCTCGGCTGGCTGGTTGGGTGTGTGCGTGGTACTGGGACAGAACAGAGTCAATGTATTTCCCAAAGCACCAGAAGGCAGGACAAGAAACAATGGATGGAAGCTAGTCAAGGAGAGAAGCTACTATTGTGGTCCTGGAATTAAGGAGAAACTTCCTAACAGTGAGGACAATCAACCAGAAGTTGTGGGTGCTTCATCAATGGAGGTTTTTAAAAGAGACTGGACAGCCACTTGTCTGAAATGGTATAGGGTCTCTTGCTTGAGCAGGGGGTTGGACTAGATGACCTCCAAGGTCCCTTCCAGCTCTATTCTGATTACTATTAGAGACAATTGTTAAGGGAATGTTGCCCTATTTTACGACCTTTCTTGCCACACTTGTCAAGCGAATCTCTGCCGTTGTTAAGTCAATATGGTCGTTGACTGAATCTGGCGTCCATATTGACTGTGCTTGTCAGAAGGTTTCGAAGGGGGACACATGATCCTGAGATATCACAACTGTCATAAATAAATTCATAAATACATTTAGATGTTCCCAAGCATCTGAATTTTGATCATGGAACCTGTCAGGGTTCCAAGTAACACCCCCAATTAAATCAAACTCCAAGGCTTGAATTTCCTCAAAGCTAATTTTTATTACAGGTGTCATATTTTCACATCTGGGAAAACCCGAATCTGAGAGCTTCTGGGCTTTCCTCACCCAAAAGAAAGTTCAAGTCCTTACCCATCACTCACGTGTCCATCACACAAACCAATCAGGTATCCTCCAGAACAGAAGATACCTCCTCATACTTCTCAGCACAGCTGCAGGGCACAACGGCTTTGACTTTCTAGAAAGAATGTTATTTTGACTACATATCATCTTCACTCCATACAATCCCCCCTCCCATTTTCCTTCAGTAGAAATTGTGGCAGTCCTGAAGGCTCAAAGGTAAAAGATGGCTTCCAGGTCTGACAAGACCATGAAGATGTAACGGTCGTAAGTGTGAAAAATGATCACAGCTCTCTTTTTTCAGTGCCGTTGCAACTTGTAACCGTCACTAAACGAACTGTTGTATATCGAGGACTAGCTGTATTGTAAAAATAATACAGATCTGAATTTGTTTCTGTATTTTTATATGCCCCCACTCCATTTTCCTGTTTCAGACTATGCTTATCATTTTGCAAATTTGTCGGAAAGATGGCCCTTTTTTCCCCTCATCTGTCGCAGTTCTTAAAATTGTTAGACAACTTCACACTTAATAACCACAGAAACAGAGATAATGAGTGTCAAGTGACCTTAGCTTTGAAAATAGCTTAGATACACAGACCAGGCAGCCAGTCCTGTGCAAAAGAAGGCAAACTAAATCCGTAATGGATTTCTTTTCAAGCAAAATGAAGTGACTTGCCAAAAAAAGAAATGCATCACAGCAGGAGAAGACATGCGATTTTGGCGTCTGTGGGCATCTTCTCAAAACATTTCTTGGCTGACAAATTGTTTTCAAAAATATGGGTCTCTTTTGGGGAGGGATGGGAGGGCTGCATAGAAAAATCTGGGAAAGAAGGAAACAACAACAACAAAAGGGATTGTGCATCTTAACCGAAAGTTGCATTAATATCACTGGTTTAAATACGAATCTGCAGAACTGTTAGAATTGAATAGAACTGATTGATACTGCATTGAATTCTGCTTAGCGCTTGAATAATGATTTAGTCTGGATTTAGGGAAATATACCTAGCCGTGTCCAACCTTAAGTCATTGCTAATAAGGGAAAAGTGTGCTGTTCTTTAATGGTGCAGAGCAGTGGTTGGTTTCACATTATGAATGAGCCGAGGTGGTGCAGTGGTTAGAGTGCTGTACTGCAGCTACTTCAGCTGACTGCTAGTTCAGCAGATCAAATCTCACCGGCTCAAGGTTGACTCAGCCTTCCATCCTTCCGAGGTGGGTAAAATGAGGACCCAGATTGTTGGGGGCAATATGCTATTTAGTATACTGTCTATTGGTGTAAGCCGCCCAGAGTCCTCGGAGAGTGGGCGGCATAGAAATATGACTAATAAATAAATAAATAAATTATGGTACTGCCAGTTCGTCCTGCGCGTGCATGCCCACTTCGTGCATATGCGGGCCCAGTTCATGCATGACCTGCCTTTCGCAAATGTGCCCGGCTTCAAAAACGTGCCTAAATAGGACAGCATAGCACCCACAATTTCCCACAATTTCCACTACCGGTTCGGGCGAAGTACACCGAACCGGCTGAATACCACCTCTGGTGCAGAGCCAGTTTGGTCTAGTGGTTAAGGCACCAAACTAAAAACCGGGAGAGTTGGAGTTCTAGTCCTGCCTTAGAAATTTAACAGATTAACACAATTGGAAGGGCCCTTGTAGGTCTTCTAGTCCAACCCCCGGCCCAAGCAGGAGACCCTACATGAAAGCCAACTGGGTGACATTGAACCAATCACCAGGTGATGGTGAGTTCTAGTCCTGTCCCAGGCATGAAAGTCAGCTGGGTGTCTCTGGGCCAATCATCAAGAGACCGTGAGTTCTAGTCTTGCCCCAGGCATGAAAGTCAACCAGGTGACTTTGGGCCAATCGCCAGGAGACTGTGAATTCTAGTCCCACCTCAGGGATGAAAGCCAGCTGTGTAATCATGGGCTAGTCACTCTCTCTCAGTCCAATTCACCTCACAGGGTTGTTGTTCTGGGTAAAACAGGAGGAGCTTTCCATCTTGGATTGTTTATAAACCAATAAAGGCAGGTTATTATATAAAACATTTCTTAGTTGTATATCTACCTTACTTCTAGGAACACAAGGCAGTATACATAATACACCATGTCTACAGTAACAATGGCAACTATTAGTTGGGTAGAAAGCATGATTGATGTAATGTCATGTTAGAAATTCTGTTTATATATAGCACCGCAAAGCAGACAAAGAGCACAGTCACCATGTGCATTACTGCTCAACTGTTTAGCTATAACAGGAAACTCTAGAACAAAAAAGCATAGAGTATATAGAATAGATCCTAACTTGTAAATACTGCCATCTAATGGCTAAATACTACTGTAGTTGTTGCATGGAAATAGATTCCAACGATGAATTCCAACACATCACCTCTTAATATAATCCCACTTTTGTAATGTAACATCACCAGGATGGGATTATATTGTCAGTTTTGTGTCCAAAACTTTCATCCTGACCCTGCATTGTGAGAACAATTTGTTGTCCAGGCGTATGTTCCCTTTCTAATGTTCTTATTCATTTATCAGGTATTATATCACCTTCTGCCCTAGTAAACTGCTCCTGTGATTTAGGAGGCCTCTTAAAACTTCTGATCTCTATTATGTTTTACTGCACCAGTAAATGGGATTTGTTTAATCATATATCGAGTGTAAAAAATGCTTTGGTGTTGATAAAATCCAATCAGACAGGTGGCAGTAAATGATGTGGCTTTAATATGATTACTTCACAAAGGGAAAATTCCAGAGAAGCAGAATTTCTCATTATCCAACATGCTGAAATTGAATATATACAGATTTTTCTCCCTCATATGAGGGGCATTTGCAGATGACAGGCCTAAAGAAAGCAAAGGTAGCAGAGTCAAATGTGTGGTTGCACCATTTTCTTGATTTTATTTTATTTTTTTGCTAGCCCACAAATATCCTAGTTAATATAACATTAATCTGGCATTTTCTAACGTCTTTCACCGCTGGAGATGAACGAAAACAGGACGGGATGACAACTCAAACCATTCTCCATTAGCTTCTAGTCGACATGTCCTCAACAAATTTTGGGTTGGTAGGTACATTTGGAATTTTGAAATCATGTTGTGGAGAATATAAAATGGTTGCCATGGCAGGAGAAAGTTGCCTCTGCATAAAATGGCTGCTGTGAGATTAAGTTGAAGCTACCATATCTAAAGATGAAGCAGGCATGTAAGCAAGGTAGACAAAAAAATCCTAGGAATCTTGACTAAAAAAATAGTTTTAGTCTAGTTTTAGTCTTAAGGCACTAGGCTAGAAAGCAGGAGATGGTGGGTTCTAGTCTCGCTGTCAAGTTTCCGAAAGATGCCCTAATTAATTCATGAGCCACGATCCAAACTTCAAAGGAAATATAGTCATTTATTAGGAGCAACATTCCAGCAATACTGGGATGCAGTTAGGACTGATCCTACGTAGATTTACGTTCCTCTATGACTCTGTCTCTCCCCTCCTCTCTGGCCATGTCATAAATCACATTCTCCAATTAACCACTTTGGCCGGCTGTGAAACCTAACACCCTCCTTCTGATTGCAGTCAGAAAGTATGTATGGAATTCACTTCAGTTCTCCTTCCCTCCTGCTCATGGCAACTTGAAAGCTTTGCAAGTTGACACTCGCCTTAAAGCCAGCTGGGTGACTTTGGGCCAATCACCAGGAGATGGTAAATTCTAGTTTTACCTTAGGTGTGGGACTTTGCTGGGTGACTTTGGGATAATCACCAAGAGATATGGAGTTCTAGTTCTTCCTTAGGCTAGAAAGTTGGTTGGCTGACTTTGGGCCAATCATCAGGGGACTGTGTGAGTTCTAGTCTCACTTTAGACATAAAAGTCAGCTGGCTGATTTTGGGCCAAATCTCTAGGAAATGGTGAATTCTAATTTTCACTTGAAAGTCAGCTGGGTGACTTTAGGCTAGTCTTGCTCTCTCAACCCAACCCATTTCACAGCTTTGTTTGTGTTGGGTAAACAGGAAAGAGTAGGATGCCAGAATATTTATGACTGGGAAGTCATGGTAACAAGGTCAGCCAATGAATAGGCATAGCAACTAAGTCAGCCAATTGGGAGCTGAGACAGACTGGAGCCAGGGCGTGTGTCTTAGTCTGCAGCTTCTGATTCTGTGCAGAGAAAAGAGAAACTGAAACCAGTGTCTGTGCATGCTGTCTGCTCTGCTGAAATGAAGTGAACTGTTCTCTCCTGCCTTGTGTTGTAACTGCTACTACGTTGAAAAAGAATCTTATATTGGTATTGTAAATACTTCATCTGTTATTATGTATATAAAGAAGTTAATAAATCCAGCTCAATCAGTTTATCTGTGTGTGCTTCTGGATTTGATTTTTGCAAGAAACTCTGACATAGGAGATATATTTGCTGCCTTGGGTTACTTACAAAAATAATAAAGGTGGGATAAAACATTTAAAAAAAATAAATAAATAATCTAAGAGTTCATACCAGAATAAAAATCAGAGTGGACTCTGGTGCCAGGATGTGTAAAAAGTGTTACAAAAAAAAAAAATTGCTCTCAATTCAGATCACAGCTTCATTATGGATAATTGTTATATCATATTTGGAAAATTCCAAAATGGGAGTGTGATTTATTTCCCCTGTCCTAGAATTCCCTGCTTTACTAACAAAGCCTTATGATTTATTTATTTATTTTTCTTCCCCGTACGTGCTGACATTTTAAACTTTCTTTAGAGAACAGAAAATCTCAGGCAGGCAGGCAGGCAGGCAGCCAGCCAGCCAAAAGCTCACTGCATTTTCAAAACTGCGTTTTTTTGTCCATGTCACAATTTCCCCTTCGCGATGGCGGCAGCTAACATTTAGAAAAGCAACGCAGTGACCTTTTCGGCATTACACGCATGACCTATCCCTGCTTTTCAACCGCTGCCACCCTTTTAAAGGTTGCAGTAAATGGAGTCCCCTTTCCCTCCCCTTCCCTTTGATTGCATCTATTGTGTAGTGGGCTTCAGTAGGCAGGAACCAGACCAGCATAGCTCCAACAGCATTTATTGACTCGAAAATAGAACTGAGGAACTGCAGGGAAATGCCTGTTATTTATAATCTAGGCCCACAGGGCCTTAACCAATCATAGAACTGGAAAAAGCCCGCCGAAATATAAATGTTCTAAATTTCCCTCCAAAACAGTTGGGGTCATTCTAAAGGTTAGTTTCACTTTAGCACAACTATATATCATCGAAGGACCTCTCATGGACTATGAATGCTAACACGCTTGTGAAGAAGGCACAGAAGAGGCTGTACTTCCTGAAATAAATCTATCTCAGCATCTACTTCTGTCCTACTATTGCAGCACCATTGAGAGTGTCCTGACATACGGCATTCTTGCATGGTATGGGAGCAGCTCTGTAGCGGACAAATAAAGCTCTACAGGGAATCATGAAAACTGCCCAGAATATCATCGGACTCCAGCTACCAGCCCTGGACGACATCTTCGCATCTCGCTGTTTGAGGAAGTTGCATAACCTTCTCAGAGACTCTTCCCATCCTGCTTACAATCTTTTTGGACTGTTGCCTTCTGGCAGAAGATACAGAACAATTAAAACTCGGACCACACGTCTTCTGAATAGTTTTTATCCCAGAGCTATAATTGCACTCAACAATGAACTAAAGGGCCACCATCAGTGAGCTGTTGGACAACATTACGTGGTCTGTTGTGTGGATGTTTGGGTGGTTTAGGGGTGGGGATTTGTGGTGGGTGGGGAGGGGGTGTTTGGGGATTGTTATGTGTGTTGGACCTGGTCTTTGGGTGTTAGGTGAATTTCATTGTATGGGTATGCTATGTATACATGTACAATGACAATAAAGTAGTTGTTATTTACTTTATTCATTAAATATGAAACTCAGTCAACTGAACATTCAAAAATGCATCACAGATACCATTGACTGGTACTAATAGTTGATACGGGTTGCTGCCAGCGTCCTAGGTATTATTGTTGTTGTTGTTGTTGTTGTTGTTGTTATTATTATTATTATTATTATTATTATTATTATTATTAGTTAATCTTTAGTGAGATTCACAGCCTTTGAGGCTGGTTAATAGCTCAGCAGCTCGAGTCCTAACCAAGGACCTAGGAACTGTTAAGGTATCGTCGGAGGATGTAAGCTGTTCCGAGTAAGGTGGTTTTTTGTAGAGTCAAAATGTTCAAGTCCGGCAAATTTAGAATTTCTACATAGCGGGGTAGCCCTTTGGGTATTGCTCCAAGGGCTCCAGTTACAATCGGGACAACACACGATTTCTTTTTCCACAGTCGCTCAACTTCAATTTGCAAGTCCCGGTACTTTGTGATTTTTTCTTGCTGCTTATCTTCAATCCGTGCATCACCAGGTATTGCAATGTCAATGAACCATACTTTTTTCTTTTCAACTATTGTTATGTCAGTTGTGTTGTTGTTGTTGTTGTTGTTGTTGTTGTTGTTGTTGTTGTTATTATTATTATTATTATTATTATTATTATTATTATTATTATTGGAGGTTTTTAAGAGACTGGACAGCCACTTGTCTGAAATGGTATAGGATCTCCTCCTTGAGCAGGAGAAGACTTCCAAAGTCTCTTCCAGGCCCAGCCCTATGATCCTATGATTTTATGTTACATGTGTATGTTACGGTTGGTGGTTCTCAGTTTTTTTTGAGAAAAGTACAACCAGAAGAAAGTCAGACACCTTATTTTCTTAAATTATCACTGCTACTGAACGATTAATTAATGAATTAATTAATCAGTTTTGGCTGGTTTATCAGAAACTACCAATGGAATGTGTGGGTGAGCTTGGGGGATGAGAGGTTAATTGTTGCCTATCAAGCAAACTGGGAAATATCTTGAAAACCTGATATCTTGAAAACCTGATACTGGAGGAGATAGATTTGAGGGATGTGCCGTAGCAAATTGCTTCTGCATGGATTCTGCCACATGTCTGCTGGGGGGAAAAAAAATAAATAATTCTGATTGGACAAGTTTTGGAAGTCAAGAGCAGTTGCCTCTTCTTAATTGAAGGAAGAAAAAAACATCTATGAAACTGGGACTTTGATAATCACCTCTCTGACTTTCGTGACCCCAGGATATAGGAGAGCATGTGCCTCAATTACACCTTTCTGAACTCCAAAAAACTGTTTTTGAACCAGGCTGGGAATTCATCGCTGGTGATATGGGAATAACATCTTCAGAAAGATTAAACATCCCATTGTTCCGCAGAAGGAGAAAATGGCAAATCCATCATGGCTAAATTTTGCTGATTCTTTAACTCTTCCTTGCTTACGAGAGACGCTGAGTATCTGAGCTAGCATGGGGTGAAACTTCGGCCACCCAGTTTTTCTTTGTTCATTTTTTTTTATTTTATTGCCAAAAGCAAATATTCATCCATGTGCCTAAGAGGATGATGATGATAACGATGGGTCATTATTTTTATCCACAGAGTCCTTCTCAATGACCTGGAATAAGCAGATGTTGTTGTTTGAAGGTGTTAAAAGTATTGTTGAGGGATGTAAGCTGTCCTGAATAGGGCTGCCTTTTGTAATTGACTGGTGGTGATTTTGTCAATGCCGATGGTGTCCAAATAGTTTTGGGACTGCACACAGTGTGCCGATTGATGTTGTATAAGGTCAGTTCAGGGTACTTTGAATAATTCAGCAGGGGTGAAAGGGAGGCATCTCATAGGTTTGGTAGCTAATGCAGTTTACAGTTATATAGGAGAGAGTACCTCAGAATATAGAATAACAGAACCAAAAAAGGACCTTGGAGTTCTTCTAGTCCAACACCCTGCTCAACCCCTACACCAGCTTTTTGGGCACTAGGGACCAGTTCCATGGGGAGAGTTTTTTCTGTGGACCAGAGGGGCCATGGTTTCATGTGCTGCCTGCATCCTGCGGATGGGGCTTCACCTGCCCAGTTTCTGGCATGCTGCGGCCCAGTACTGGTCCATGGACTGGGATTGAGGACCTCTGCCCTATACCATTTCAGAGAAATGTTTGTCCAGTCTTTTCTTAAAATTCTCCAGTGTCGGAGCTGTGGGAAGAAATATCCATCTCATTCAGTTCCAAGCCAGGAGAAAGACAAAATGGAGGCAGTTTGGAAAGATGGTTTATTGATGAAGCAGAACCACATGTGACTCTGGGCAACTGACCACATGGAGTTGAGAGTGAGGTTTTTTTTATACCTTCTCTTGGGCTTTGCACTTGAGCTTCCTGTTCCTGTGCAAGAGCATTGTATTCTATTGACTGTTGTCAGACTTCATGTAGGGGTTATGTAGGGGTCATAGCGGGCTCTATAGGTTGTCTGAGCTCCCAGGTTTGGTTGCTGGGAGGGGTGCAACTGAAAGGGTATTGAGCATTTCCTATTGTGGCTGATGGCTAATCCTACCTTTGTTCTGATCTTGCTGCAGGGAATTTCGAAATATCCTGTCTTGAATGGATTTCTGCCTGCAGTATTTGCTTTGCCTATGAATAGAGCTAATCATAATCATAGGTTTATTTGTCAAGCATATATAAGATAACAGGTAAAACAGAAAAACCTTGGTTACATAGGAAAAACCTGGCTAGAGGAAAAACACACATAAAACCTACGAAGAAGTAAGAAAATAGATACTGTACCTTTACAGGGAGGATACATGAGATGTGGGTGTGGCTTACTGATGATGGCTAACGAGCCAGAAATAGATCTATATAAATCTCTCACCTGGCAGCAAGAACTTGCTGGCTGCCAGAAAGAAAAAAAGCCCAGAATCGAGTGGATGTGATTCCACTGAACTAGGGCTGCAGAAAAACCTTGGTTACATAGGAAAAACCTGGCTAGAGGAAAAACACACATAAAACCTAGAAGAAGTAAGAAAATAGATAACAGGTAAAAGTATAAACATAATCTGAATACATGAAAAGAGTAAGTAAAAAGGAATATTAGGACAGGGATGGTAGGCACGCTGGTGCACTTATGCACACCCTAGATACTAGCTACCTAGATACTTGGCTTCTTTCAATAAACTCTTTATCTCTTAAGTGCTGACATCTGCTGAGGGCTATTAAGGAAGGTGAGGGCTGCTTTCTGTCTCCAAGAACATGTTTCTCCATATCTCCCTTTAGGGAAATAACTTAGTGAAGATTACCTGGCTAGGTGGCTCAGTGGCTAAAACCCTGAGCTTGTCGATCAGAAAGGTCGGCAGTTTGGCTGTTTGGATCCCTAGTACAGGTCTCCTGCGTGAGCAAAAGGTCGGACTAGATGACCTCCAAGGTCCCTTCCAACTCTGTTACTGTTACAAAGAGACCATTTAAAGAAGACGACATTAATCGTAGTATCTGTCCCTTCCACCGTGGTACATTTGCTGAGGGAAAGATAATGAATGCAACTTCTAATATTAGTCCCTCATTATTGCAGATTAACCGGGAGGTTGAAGATATATTTCAGTCCTGCTGTTTTAATGCCCGAGAGCAGATGTTACTTATGTCCCGGCTACATCCAGATTATATCAACTCCTGGTGGAAGACAGAACTGCATCTAAGGGAGAGCTCATTAAACATAATGCCACGTTTCAGGACAATTTGGTATTCGTTCGTTCCTGCTTTTCTTTTTCCTTGTTCAGAGATCTGAGCACTGAATTCTCATTACAGGAGAATTTGGACTCAATCATCTGGTAGGCCCTGACTAGAGGGATAATTATTTATTGGCCAAGTGTGATTAGACACACAAGGAATTTGTCTCCGGTGCATAAGCTCTCAGTGTACCTACAAGCAACAAGTGATAAATCATGATCATAATTGTAAAATACAATCCTCATAAATCATAAGAGGCAAACTCAGTGATGGTCATAGGCTACACAGGATACTAAATAAGCAAACAACATTAATTACAATAGGATACTAAATAAAGGCAATCAATATAAATCATGAGGTGCAAACAACAAAGTTATAGTCATAAGATGCTAAGGAAATAGGAAAGATGAAAAGATGAGAAGGATAATAGGTAATTCTTATTACTTAGGACCTGGGTACCTACGAGACCGTCTTTTGCCACCAATAGCCTCCCACCGACCAGTTCGTTCTCACAGGGAGGGACTACTCAGGGTACTGTCAGTCAAATTATGCCGACTGGCGACTCCCAGGGGGAGGGCCTTCTCTGTGGGGGCTCCAACCCTTTGGAATGAACTGCCCCCGGAGATACGGAATATCCCTGATCTCCGTGCTTTCCGCCGTGCCCTCAAAACCCTGATGTTCCAACAGGCGGGGCTAAACATATGAACATGTGACTGTTTTTAAAATGTTATCTAATTTTAGGTTCTATTTAATTGGGCCAAACTATGTTATAATAATAATTTTAATTAGCAATTTTATGATGTTTTGTGTATCTATATTTTTCTTGACTGTACACCGCCTTGAGTCCTACGGGAAAAAGGCGGTATAGAAATATAATAAATAAATAAATAAATAAAATTCAGCCCTGCTAGGTTGTGGTTTGACATCCTAGGGCAGGGGTCAGCAACTTGCGGCTCTGGAGCCTCATGTGGCTCTTTCACCCCTCTGCTGCGGCTCCCTGTCACTCAAAATATGTGTCACAACCGCCAATGTGCGACACCCACTGACACGCAATTTATTGAGCTTTTCAACCCCCGGTAGGCCAACCATGGATAAATCCAAGAAAAGAAAAGTTTCAGAAGAAAACAGAATGTTTAATTCAACTACATATGCTAGTTTTGTGGCCGCTCAAGAAATAGTCAGACACGGGAAGGGTTTTGTGGCTCCCGGTGTTTTCTTTTCTGTGGGAAACGGGTCCAAATGACTCTTTGAGTGTTTAAGGGTGCAAACCCCTGTCCTAGGGAATAGACAGTGGAAATTAGTTGTTTAGCAGAGTGATAACATGGGGGGTGGGGGAGAGTGTCTTTGTGTCTGGTTGTTTTGACACGCAGTGCCTTATAGACTACAAATTTAAAATTGGCAAAAAGAGGTTGCACTACATACAGGTTTGAACAGTACTCAAATAAAAGAATGAATGCGTCTAATTTGAGGGATGTCCTAATCCAACCCATTGACCAAACCGTTGAATATGCAAGTAGGAGTGAGACTTACATCAGCTGTCACTCATTGGTTCATTTTCTACAGCAGGAAAATGAACAAGTGTCAGTGGCTGACAGGCTGGACAGCTCCCTATAAAAGGAGCTGCGGCCTCGGGCAATTCTCAGTTTGTAGTTATTTTTGTTGTTGTTCCTGTTGCCTGAAATAAATGGTTGTTTTACTTCACTACGATCGTCCTGCCTCTCTTTTCCTGTCAGGATTTAACACAAATCATCTCCAGAACTTTCAGAGCTTTAGAAGGATATAAAATCACCACAGCTTGCCTTCAGAAGTTGTGGGTTCCTTTTCACTGGAGGTTTCTAAGAAGAGACTGGACAGTCACTTGTCTGAAATGGTATAGGATCTCCTGCTTGAGCGGGGGGCTGGACTAGAAGACCTCCAAGGTCCCTTCCAGCTCTATTCTGATCTAGTTTGAGTTTCAGAGATGCTGTCGAAGAAGAAGAAAAAAAACAAACAAACCTACCTTCTCACAAATCATCTTGTGATAGGTCTCCTCAGAAAAAGGAGTTTACTCATGAGGAAATAAAATAGCCAGTTGTGAAGAATAAGCCAACAGAAGACCAAGAATAGGACTTGGAAGAGCAGAGTGTGGATATCAAAGTTGGATTAGAAGTTTTGGGGTTTCTTTTACATTGTCCCTTATTCTTTCACCAGGTACAATATGGGTACAAATAGATCACACAAGACGTAGTATGAGCGTCTTACATAACGGGAAGGGCCCATAAATTAGAGGTGACTCAGAAACTCCAGACAGGTAGAGAATTTAGCTGAGGAAAAAGAACACTCAATCTGTCACCTCAACTATTAGTTCTTCCAACAGCCGAAATTTGGGTTTGTCCCTCCATTAATAGGACAACCTCTAAGCATCCAGTGGAGGTCAAAAGCGAATTTGGTGGTCAGCAAGCTATTTGTGGAATTCATTGCTGTGATGAATGATGGGAGCCATTCTTTTAGTGGCTTTAAAAAAAAACGATTAACCAGTTTTGCAAAAGACTTTTGAAAAATGATTAACCGGTTTTACAAAAGACCCATCGAAAGCTATAATAGCTCAGTTTTGAACCAAGGAAGAGGTTTAACCCAACTGAAGAGTTACGTTTTGGGAAAAGCGGTAAGATTATTTTATCAAATCCAATAATCTAGAACAATCTAGAATGGCCCAAGGCAGGAGTCCTTGTTCCATCTTAGACAATAGTTCAGGAAAGGCCCAGAGAGCATCAAGGACCACATGTTTCTTTACCCGAAAAGCATTTATCCTCACAAAATATCTGAAAATAAGATATATGAAAAAATTTCATACAATCTTTGGTTCATCTCAACCTTTTTCAGCTCGATGCTCCTCCTCTTCTTCCTCCTCCTCCTCCTCTCTTCTTCTTCTTCCTCCTCATCCTCGTCCTCCCCCTCCTCCTCCTCCTCCTCCTCCTCCTCCTCCTCCTCCTCTTCTTCTTCCTCCTCCTCCTCCTTCCTTCTCCTTCTTCTTCTTCTTCTTCTTCTTCTTCTTCTTCTTCTTCTTCTTCTTCTTCTTCTTCTTCTTCTTCTTCTGCTTCTTCTTCTGCTTCTTCTTCACCTTCTTCACTTTCTTTTTCTCTTCTTCTCCTTCTCCTTCTTCTTCTTCACCTTCTTCTCTTTCTTTTTTGTTTTTTGTTATGCATTGTGTTGAAGAAAAAAAAAAAGCATGTCAGGAAGGACAGCTGCGAAAACAAACAATGCGCGGAGAAAAATCCAATTAAAAGAAATAATCTATCATAAGTATACTTCCTGAGAAATAAATCCCATTAATGGGGCTTTCTTCTGAATAAATGGATCGAGGACAGACGACGTGAAATGATTTCTAAGGCTACCAAACCGGCATGGGCAGAATATTGATGATTAAGCTATAAAACAGAGAAATGGGATTTTGAATCGATACGTGAAATGCATCACTTTTCTCATTGCTGAATGGTTGGTAAAAAATCAGCTACTTCCTGAGCTTTGTTCTTAAGTCCCCTGAATGCAGATAGTCCTCGACTTATGGCCACAACGGAACCCAACATCCCCATTGCTAAGAGAGACAGTTTCTAAGTGAGTTTTGCTCCATTCTGCGGCCTTCCCTGCCCCGATTGTTATCACGGTAGTCGTTAAGTAAGTAACTCAGTCGTTAAGTGAATCTGGCTTCCCCATTGACTTTACTTATTAGAAGGTCACAAAAGGGGAATCACACGATCTCAGGACCCTGCAGCCATCATAAATATGAACCAATTGCCCAGCGTCCGAATTTTGATCACGCGATGCTGTAAAGGCGAAAAAACGGTCGTAAGTCACTTTTTTCAGGGCCGTTTTAGCTTCGAATGGTCACTAAATGAACTGTTATAAATCGAGGATTACCTGTACTTAAGACCTTCCTTATAAACCATGATTTCCTGACTTTTTCACCTTCTTTGTTGCTTATCATCCCGGACTATATGGAGATCTAGTGTTGATCGTACCAAAGCTTTTCCAATTCGTGAATCTGTTGCCATAAAGGCCACTGGGATTTTCGGAAGGCAAGACTCATCAGTTATGTTATGGGGACCTCCCAACTGTGTTTCCACCTGAACTGGTATTGAGAGGTCTATGGATTTAGATACAAAGCACTAGATACACCTGGATGGCCCTCCTCAATGTTCAGAGAGAGAGAAAAAATCATACAGTATATGAAGAATTATCCAGTTTCCCTGGAGCCTATCAAGAACCTTAGGGAGCAGCAAAGAAAAAGTTATTCTATAATCGATTTTATTGGGAAAATAAAGGACTGTTTGGGAAGACTCAATACAAATCTTCTCCTTTTCTTCTTCTTCCTCTTCCTCATTCTCCTCCTCCTCCTCCTCTCCTCATTCTCCTCCTTTTCCATCCCTTGTGCTTCTCCTTCTATTCCTTCTCTGTCTCTTCTCCTTCCCTTCTTCTTCTCTCTTCCTCTTCCTAATTCTCCTTTACTGTCTCTTCCTCTTCTCCTCCTCCTCCTGCTTCTCTCTCCTCCCTTTCCCTCCCCTCCATCTTCTCCTTCTCTCTTCCTCTTCCTAATTCTCCTTCTCCATCCCTTCCCCTTTTCCTCCTCCTCTTCCCTCCCCTCCTCCTCTGTCTCTCTTCCTCTTCCTAATTCTCCTTCTCCATACCTTCCCCTTTTCCTCCTCCTCTTCCCTCCCCTCCTCCTCTGTCTCTCTTCCTCTTCCTAATTCTCCTTCTTTGTTAGGATTCCTTCTCTTCAGGATTCCAAATAATGCACCCATAACAAATAGAACTCCAAGGCAGGTAGATTCCTCAAAGAATAGTTTTATTTGGATATATCATATTGGCACAGGCTGGTGACAACCAACTCTGAGTGTTCCCACGGTTTTCACCTAATTAAAAGTAAAAAAATTTCCCCTTTCCCAATCAGTCACATGGTTCAATCAAGATGCCGTCCAGTTGCTTAGTAACTTCACTCCTCCTCCTCTCTCTGGCCACCTGTAGGAATGTC